GTTAAGGTGGAGATACCATCGAAGAGGTACAATTTTTTTATTTTATTTTCTTTTAATATAATGTAGGTTTTTCAAATTTCCAAATAGAAAATATAATACAAAGAATGTATAAAATATACATATATATTATATATATATATATATATATATATATATTATATAATTATAAAATATTATAATGCATAATTACATAGCTTGCAGTCATATAAAAATATATTACAAAATGTATATTATAATTATAGTACAATTTATAAATTGGTATCAACATCAAATAAATATGTATTCGAATTTATTCAAATATTTTCAATAATACGGATAATGATGTTGAGAGCACACACACACACTCTTAGACTTACAATAATACTATATATATAGAAAGAAAAAAAAGGAAAATTCGGAAAGTAAAATAATTTTTCGAAAAATGAAGATATATTTTCCATTTTTCGACATTTATTCAAGATTTATTCTCTATTGTTACAAATATCTTTTATACATAATTTTGTTATCATTTTCATAATAGTATAACTTAATATATAATATTTTATTTTAACTTAAAATACAATAGAGTTATAAAATATAAATTAAAAAATTAATTTAATATATAATAATACAATCAAATTGAAAGTATATAATGTATAACAATAATAAAATATATATACATAATACATATATATATATATATATATATATAATACATAAAATTGTTAATACATAAGATAATACATAAAATTTTTCGTTGAAAATATATAGTGTAATACATAACAATAAAATATATATTATATATAATACATAAAATAATACATAAAAAATTGTTATATAGAATATATACATAGATTACTTTACTATATTACACAAAAATATCCGCAATACGTACAACGTAAAATTGATTAGAAATTTTTAGAAAATTTTTAGATTAGCATAGCTGATAATCTATCGCGACTAAAAAAATAATTAATAAATTTATCGCTTGTGTTCCTCTCAATTAAGAAAAAGTAATTTTAATGCGAAATTTTAATTCATTTTATAAGATTTTCTAAAAGAAATGTTCGATGACGCGGAAAGATAAGTAAAACTTTGATGTTACCCAACAATTAAATCAGAGAAAAAATTAAATTTCGCGGTTTAAATTTCGCGAATATATATGATAAATAAATTAATTAATAATAACAGTAATATTTAACCACAATACACATAATTTCTAATAATCGGAATACAACGTGCGCAATATAATTATTCTCATTTTGTGCGACAATAAAAATATTGCAACATTAGAGGCGCATTTCATATAATTTGCACAATATTATAGTATACGTAAGGAATCAAACGCGGATGCAGAATCTAATAGCCGATTTCTTTTCAAATATACAATTTCATGTAAATTTCGCGATCAAAAGTAAAATATATATCTTGTTCCGCGAACAATTGCAAACAGGCTAAACTCTAATAATTCTTAAAATAATCACGTTATCGCCACGCTCAATGAAGAATAACTGGCCTAACGATTAGACCAGATCAAAATCCCTCTGCCAAGTGACACGCTGGTTAATATCTGACAAAGAGAAGAACGATCCTAAAAGTGGGAAGCGACTTCAATTTGTCTTATTTCTTCTATTTCGGATCTCGCGAAATTGACCCACAACGGATAGTTAAGTGATTCATTAAACATCAGAATCTTCTCTACAAGAAGGAACGAATCCCCGATCTGATTGCTCCCGATAACAGCGATTTCGCAGCAGATTAACGACTGTTACCCTTCTTATCATTTTCAATATATAATATTAAAATTCGCGTAAAAAAACATCTTCTTCCATTTTAAGAAATCTTTTCTTTTTACTAAAAAATGACTGGATATAATAGGTTTATATACATGTTACAATCAAATATATTTAAAGGTAAAATGAAATACATGCGCTTTTATCGTTGCTTGATTAAATGTGTGAATAATATTAATTTTAGGGTACCAAATGTGCTCAAAATTCGAGACAAATCAAATCTGATAACAGCAAGATTAAAAAAAAATTCAATTTGAATATTTAGCAACATCAAATGAAAGATTATCAAGAAATTAATTTTTCTGTTACATTTAACAGTTAAGACTTAGCACGTAATAATAATTTGCAGATATCTTACTGATATCAGAGTACCCATTCGATTTGTCTCGAATTTTTTAATTAATCACACATTTTATATTATATCATGCATTCCTATTATATTAAGAATAATATTAAGAATAATATTAAAAATAGTTTTTCAAATATGTCACAATTTACGCACATGTATTTTATTATATATACACTCTTATCTAAAATAAACTAGTTATAATATACATAAGATAGTGGAGCATCCAGTAATTCCTGCAAGTGGTTTCTTAAAAGAGACCAAAAATAAAATTAATTCAAAATTAATTAATTAAATATACTTGTTTGTAACCATAATTTTTCAAATAATAAAAATTTTGCACAAAAAAGTTTGCGCAAAAACTTATTAAATTAAATTTATATTTGAAAAAGTGAATTTTATCTATTATATCCATTTTTGAATTATTATTTTCATTATTAAAATAATAGTGATATTAATAGGAGGATATTAATGGAAGAACATTTTTAACAAAAAGAGAAAATATATCTTCTCTCAAAGTATAATGAATTTTGTAATTCGATTTCAAACAATGTACGGTGATTGTCGTTAAATCACTGCCAAAACATTGTTTCCAGGAACTGCCACGAAAACCTGGGTTTAATTCCTACTCTGTAATGAAACTTTCAATTTTCAATGAGGCACCGAACTAAGCGTTGCGGATAGATCTCACAAAAACCGGCGAGAAATAACTGTCCGCAATGAAAATCGTTTCGATTCTCCGCCAGTACAAACCGCGCATTTGCTAGCGTCCACCTGACATGAGGGACAGCGATAAGGCTTCTTCGTCGAGACAGCGATCACATCCAAAAACGTGAAAAGAACGCAATTGTTTGCAATATAATTTATTATAAAATCGTAAATCAATAAATCGTAATCTATAAATATTTAACGCGATGCGAAATTCTCGAAATACATTAAATTAAAAACGATAATCAAAGAAAATTATTTTGTTTTATAGATTTTAATTTCCGCATGATTGATAATGTTTAATATTTCGCAATATTTTATTTTCGAACATACTTGTGTTTTCTATAATATTAAAAGAACGACACATTTTACGTAAAAAGCTAATATCTAATTATTGGGTTAACATCGTGTTTTTCTTGATTCACTTTTATTTAATAACCTTTATATTATGTAAAAGAATTTTTTTTACGGTATTTGCGCGATTACGAAAGTTTCTCGAATTTATTAATAATCTTTTAGTATAAAAAATAAGCTATCCAAATATTTGAATAATTTTGCAATAAAAATATTCAAATAAAATATATCAAATGTTAATTAAACAAATTTTGTTATTGTACGTATTCATCTAATTTCATGTAATGTACAATAGATTTCTTTTACATTATTACAACTAGATTATAATTTCTATACAATTGCAAAGAAAATTATGAAAAATAAAAAATAATATAATTACAATTTATAGATATAATTATAATGTTAATTACAATTTAATAATTGATGCTATTAGTATCAATATTCTCAACATAAGAAAATTGCAAAATTTTTATTATTTAAAATGATTATTCAATGATAATCAATGTATATGATTTCAAATAAGTTAGAAAAAAAAATTATTTAGATCGAATTACTTTTATCTCTCAATATTTTATCAAATAAATATTATCATATTAAATACTAATAACATTCACATTTGAATTTAAAATTGTATAATTTTTAAGAAAATACAATTTTTAGTAGTGATAAAATAAAATACAATTTACAAAAAATAAAATATTAAATTTAACATATGTTATATGTATAATAAAATGCAACTTAAATGTACATTATGTATTTAAGTTACATTTTTTACATTTTCCATACATTAATTTTTTTATTTTTATTTATAGTTTTTTTATAATTAATTTCAATTCTTTATATACAATATAATTTATTTAATTTTATTGTATATAAATTATAATTATGAAATAAATTATATATATATATATATATATATATATATGTATATAACATATTTATATGATATTTTTTCCTGAAAATGAATTTAATTTTTATATGCCCTAACAATCTTAACAACCTTAACAACCTAACAGACCTAATAGCCCTAACAAGCCTAATACAGACCCCTAAAAATAACATATTTTTATGTTCTTTTTTCTTGAAAATAAATTTAATTTGTATATGCTTTAATAGCCCTAACAAACCTAATAGGCTTAACAAACCTAACAGTCCTAACAGCCCTAACAGACATAACAAAGACCTAACAGCCCTAGCCACCCTACTTGCTGGCTTACGCCAGCAGAAATTCACGATCAAGTGAAATTTGGGGAACCCTAATTAGGAATCCGCGATAATGAAAAATTTAGGAAGCCCTAACCGGAAATTCGCGATAAAAGGAAGTCTTAGCGGCGCAACACATCTTTTGGCCAATATTGCCAATATTAATGTATTTTCCAAGCCAGTTATCTCTGCTTCTGGCTATATTCATTTTGACGACCATTTGTTTACGATCGTACGATATTATGATCGTATTTTAACGTACGTCATTCAGTCGTCAGAAATCGCGAAATAAATTATCATGCATAAAATATAATTACCATGCATTTTAACTCTCGGTCGGCGGGTTGCTTATAAATATTTTTATTTTTTAGATTAAATATTTAGAAATTAAAAATCTATTTTTAAAATCGTTTTGTAAAAGTCTGTGTGTCCATATATATATAATGGAAATAAATATTTCATGTATGTCTATATCTATTGTTATTTTACAAATATTTTTTCTTTTACTTTAATTTTTACACGTATTGTCCCGCCAATCAAGAGTTAGTAGCAACGGATTTCTTCATGCATTTACAAATCCTTTGCTTCAAAATAAAAAGTTGTCACTTACCGGCACTGATGCGCAACAGCGGAATTGATATTGAAGCTATGTTGTCTGTAACATACAAATATAAAATGCAAATTATATCAATGTTCAAAATAATTAATATTTTAAGAAATTATTATTGGACTCATTAAATTTTATATCCGATGTACGCAATTATAAATACATGTATAAATATGAAATAATTTTATACGTAATTAATTTTTTTTAAGTAGAAACTTTTATAGAAAGAATTATTATAAAAATTTGTCCAATTTTTTCATGTTTAAATCATTTATATAAATCAAATTAATTAATTAATTAATTTATATAAAATTAATATAAGTAATAATACACACCATCAGGTTGTTCCGCTGGTGCAAGATGCCTTTTCCTAGGCCTGCTCTTCCTCTCAGATCATCTGGGTTGGTTACATCTATAACATACACATAGAAAATCCAAATTATAATAACGTCCAAAATAATTAATTTTTTTAATAATTAATTAATAATTAATTTAATAATTTAATAATTAATTTTTTTTTTTCAAAGAATTATTATTGTATGTATTGTGTATCTTATATTCAATCCATATAATAATAAGTAGATTCATAAAATAATTCTATAAATTAAAGAAAAACATTATTAATAATTCTTTAATAATTTTATAAAGCTTATATCTTTACAAGAGATTATAGCTTTTATTTAAAAATCTTTTTCTCTCTTATTTAAATCATATAAATAAACAAATCAAATTAATTGTTGCGATTAATTGTTTGATTTAAATTATGATAAATATATTTAATATTTAATATATAATTACAAATAAATAAATTGCTTACCAGAAGGTTGCTCTGCCGGAGCCTGATGCCTCTCCTAGGCCTCCTCTTCCTCTCAGTTAGACGCGCGATACTTAACGGCACTCCCGCACTCACGAGCGATATTTTTATATCGCTATTTTCGCACTTTTACGCGCGATACTGAACGGCACTCCCGTACTATTCGATACGATTAAAAATTTTCTGTTTTGTCGCGCGATGTATATATTTAATATATATATACTTTAAACGGCACTCCCGGTTTCGATACGAGCGAAAATCTCGTTTCACTTGTGAAAGTGGGATTGCGACAAAGTCTAACGCAAAAACGCGATAACGCGATGACGAGACGCCGCCGTCCGCGACACGTTGACGGCACCGACGACGAAAAGTCGACGACGCAATATATATATATATATATATATATATATATATATATATTTCTTTTTTTAATAATATTTGTTTTTTTTCTCTGAAAATAAATTTAATTGTTATATTCCCTAATAGCCCTAACAAACCTAACAGCCCTAACATCCCTAACAGTCCTAGCAGTCCTAACAGCCCTAGCCGCCTTACTTGCTGGCTTACACCAGCAAAAATTCGCGATAAGGTGCAATTTGGGGAGCCCTAATCGGAAATTCGCGATAAAATTTAAAGAGCCTTAACCGCGCAACACATCTTTTGGCCAATATTGACCATGTATTTTTCAGGCCAGTTATCTCCACTTCTGGCCATTCATTCTGACGACTATTTGTTTCAAAAACGATCATGCGATATTATGATCGTTTCTTTAACGCACTTTATTCAGTCGTCAAAAATTGCAAGTTATAAATTCAATCATGCATAAAAGATAAAAAGCATGCATTTTAACTCTCGGTTGGCAGATTGGTTAGAAATATCTCTATTTTATAGATTAAATATTTATCGATTAAAAATCGATAAAAGCCTATATTTTTATAAAATTGTTTTTTATAGAGACCGATATAATAGATATAATAGATATAATAGAATAATATATAATAGAATTTTAGAATATTTCATGTATGTCCATCATACAATTGCAATAAAAATATCATCTATCTTTATTAAAAATATTTTTCCTTTACTTTTTCACTTTAATTTTTACTCGCGTATTGTCCCGCCAACGGAGAGTTAGAAGCAATGGATTTCTTCATGCATTTATAAATCCTTTGCTTCAAAATAAAAGGTTGTCACTTACCGGCACTGATGCGCAACAGCGGAATTGATATTGAAGCTACGTTATCTGTAACATACATATATAAAATGCAAATTACATCAATGTTTAAAATAATTAATATTTTAAGAAATTTATTATTGGATTCATTGAATTTTATGTCTGATGTGCGCAATTATAAATAGATATATAAATATAAAATAATTTTATAATTAATTAATTTTTTCAAGTAGAACCTTTAGAAAGAATTATATAGAAAGAAATATTACAAAAATTTTCCCAATTTTTCCTTGTTTAAATCATTCACATAAATCAAATTAATAAATTAATTAATTCATTTATATATAATTAATATAAATAATAATATTCACCATCAGGTTGTTCCGCTGGTGCAGGATGCCTCTCCTAGGCCTGCTCCTCCTCTCAAATCATCTAGGTTGTTGCGTCGATCTATAACATACAAATAGAAGATCTAAATTGTAATAATGTTCAAAATAATTAATATTTTAAAAATTATTGTATGCATTGAATTTTATATCCGACGTATATAATAATAGCAGATTAATAAAATAAAATATTACTAAAATAAAATAAGACGTTAAAATAAAATATTAATAATAATTCTTGAATAAGTTTATAAAACCTTTACAAGATTATAAATTTTATATAAAAATCTTTTTCTTTAAAATTCGTATTTAAATCATATGAATAAAAAAATCAAATTACGATTAATTGCTTAATTTAAATTATAATAAATATATTCAATATTTAATTTATATATATATATATATATATATATATATATATAATTGCAAATAAATAAATTGCTTACCAGAAGATTGCTCTGCCGAAGCTCGATGCCTCTCCTAGGCCTCCTCCTCCTCTCAGTTTAATCGCGCGATACTTTTAGCGGCACTCCCGCACTCACGTGCGATATTTTTATATCGCTATTTTCGCACTTTTACGCGCGATACTGAACGGCATTCCCGCACTATTCGATACGATTAAAAATTTTCTGTTTTGTCGCGCGATGTATATATTTAATATATATATATACTTTAAACGGCACTCCCGGTTTCGATACGAGCGAAAATCCCGTTTCACTTGTGAAAGTGGGATTGCGACAAAGTCCAACGCGAAAACGCGATAACGCGATGACGCGAAAAAGCTAAACGCGAAAACGCGGTAACGAGACGCCGCCGTCCGCGACACGTTGACGGCACCGACGACGCGAAAGGGTACTTAGCTTCCTCTTCAGGCTCCTTGAGATTTATTCTAAATTAAAAAATTTAAAATAAACTTCAAGGCATCATCCAAGTACTAAGCCCTCCCACCGCGACAAGGTGTACCCCGTGGGAGGGTTATATTATATATAATTTTATATAATATAATATATAATTAATAGATATATAATTATAAATCTTCTTTATAAAACTCAAAATAATTCATTTTGTAAAACTAATTATTACGCGTAATGAATTTGTTATTTTCATTATTGATATATATATGCAATACATGTATATTAATACGATTATAGTCGAAAGTTTAATATAATTGAAAGTTATGATACAATAATCGTTTAATTAATAATTAATTTAAGAATATACGACGTATTTCGCACTACGATCTTTATTGCTCGAGTGTCGCTTTATGAATAATCCGAAGGCCATAACGTTGTATGACTAGCGCGCTATTGTTTACGTCAAGATCGAATTCCGTGTTATTGTTCGTTCGTCATATCGAAATATATTGTATTATATTTTATATTACAATATAAGGTAATATAAATATGTTAACGTACGTAAGATATTATTTCGATGACAAACAGATAATAATATCAATCTCTTTCTCTCAAACAGATAATAATATCTTGTCGTAAACAATACGTATTTTTATTATATTATATCATATTATATTATATTATGTTATATTATATTATATTATATTATATTATATTTTACATATTTTAATACAGCAAATAATTTTTCGATATTGATCGCGATCGCGTCTAGAAAAGAATTTAACGGAGCGTCTTGTACTATTACTTTACTCTTTGAGTGTCATCGCGCGAATGATAATAGAACCGAATAAATTAATTCAAAAGACCGTGTTATTATTATTTTTGTACCGAAACATTTTTCAAAACTATGGCATATAAACATATAAGAATATACGACATATTTCGCACTACGATCTTTACTGCTTGAGTGTCGCTTTGTGAATGATACTAAGACCATATGACTAGCGCGCTATTGTTTACGTCAAGTTCGAACGCCGTGTTATTATTCGTTCGTCATATCGAAATATATTGTATTACATTGTATTATATTTTATATTATAATATAATATAATAAATACAGCAAATAATTTTTCGATATTGATCGCGATCGCGTCTAGAAAAGGATTTAACGGAGCGTCTTGTATACCACTACTTTACTCTTTGAGTGTCGACGCGCGAATAATAATAAAACCGAAAAAGTTAGTCCGAAAGAGACCGTGTTATTATTATTTTTTTGGAAACATTTTTCAAGACTATAGCATAAAACATTAGCGCGCTATTACGCCGCCAAGGTCGGTTACTGTTTATTCGTCATCGAAATATTTTACGTGTTTTAATATATACATTTATGTATATATGGAATATATTAAAGTATATAAAAGTATTTTAGATTACATAGATTTTTTAATTATAGGATTATTTATTAAAAGATTGATGGAGTCTTTCATTATGTTTAGATTCACGATTCAATTATTTTATTGTGCGTTCTCAAAATTCAAAATATTTCAATGATTGAAAAATAAAGCATCGCAGATATATTGTATTTGACTCTATAAATATCTATAAATACTAAAGAAATAATTTCTGCTCGTAAAAATCGATTTCATATCAAAATAATAATTTATTATTTTAGATTTCTGTTACTATAATTCTTAGTTGATTAAATGAATAAATTACAATTAAATGCGATAGAGAATTTTTGTCGCGATTTGTATATAGATATTAATTATGTGTTATTTATAAAAGTTAATTAATCATATAGTTATAATAAATAATTTTCGGTGTTGATCGCGATCGCATCTAGAAAAGAAATTTAACGGCGTATCGTTATATTACTCATTAAAAACTATTAGACAATAACATATAAAATTATATAAATATGAATAAATATGAAATTATATAAATCGTTTCATAATCGGCATGCAGATATTACAAATGCTATCTGCATCTGATTTATATAATTTTTCATATGTTATTGTCTAATATTTTCGAATGTGTAATAATATTAATGTCACGTTGAAGGTAGATTAAAAGATAATCCGAAACGTTCGTATTTATTGTATGTATTGTGACGAGTAATTTGAAATATACTAATAATTTGAAATATATTAATAATTAAAAGCGAAAGGATTTTTCTTGTGCTCCAGTTATCGCGCTTTTTATTGGCTCTTAGTTATCAATTATTTAGTTAATTTTTAATTATTATTATTTGAGCCAATTTTTTATTTTAATTTTAATACTTATATTATTTAATATTTAAAAATAATATTTAAAAATAACTAGAATATTTTTTGTGTTATAATTTATTTTCAATGATGAACCGTTGTGATAAAGATCACGTAAAAATGGCGGGGGCGATGGTGATGATGGATGATGTGTGATTAATATATTGTATCAAGGAATATATTAATAATTAATTATATTATTAATACAGGGAGAGAAAGACCACCCAAAACTTTAGATTTGTATTAAAAATTTAGCGTTTTGCATTATCGATACTTGTGTTACCGACGGAACAATCCAAAATAATGTTACCTACTGAAAACATTCATGATTAGCTTCGTAGTCCATGTCCACGTTTTTATTTCAGAGGGCGTATTGCCTTTAGGAATTACCCAAGTGATCTATGATGTTTCTTATTCTTCTTTCTGATTGAAATTAATTGAGGCAAATATTTTTTTAATTAAACGGTAGTATATATTAAATTACATATAATAATGGCGATGGTGGTGATAGATAATGTGTGATTAATATATAATATAATATAATATCGGGTAATATATTTTAATAATTATACTTGATAGATAGATAGATAGATAGATAGATAAATAGATAGAGTGGGAGATCACAAAACTTATTTATATTACAAATTTATTTAATATATACAAACGTTTTGCGTTACTTATGTTATCGACATTTCGTGTACGAGGCATGGAATACAACCCGAAATTATGTTACCCATTGAAAACATTCGTAGATTTGACTACGTAGTTCATGTTTATATTTTTTTGTTTATAGGATGCATTGCTTTCAGAAATCGCCTAAAAGCAGACTATGACAAAACAGAGTGAAAACTATGAACAACTTAGTTGTTTGTTTTATAGATTTTAAAAATGGCTTGTCGTACATATTTAGAGTTGTAAATAATTTGATAAAAAATGTTCAATCTGTAAATAATGGTAACGCAAATGAAATATATTATTGTCTCTAAATCATTATATGTAATTAACATATAATGTGTATTTAAAATTAATTTATCAATTTAACTCTAATAAAATTATGAATTTTTTTTTCAGGTATATTATTGTTTAATATTGTTTAATTTATTGCTTGTCAGTCATTCACATTTATTAAAAATAGTCACTTTATTAAATAATGTGAGAAACTATGTTCTTTGCGAATAGTAAGTAGAACTTTTATGGATATTTTGATAATAGTTCATATTTACAGTAGAAAATAGTGTATTTCATTGCATTTGTATTTCACTGTGCTTTTATTCTATATAGGACCTGAAGATGAATTATGACAGGGTGTGACAAGTAAGTAATGCAGGAAGACGCAGAGGTAGAGCAAGAAGAGTAGTGAAAAGAGACCTAAATAAGGAGCAAATTATTGGCTTGGAAAAAATTCCGATACAATTTCCTGATCTAAACACTCCTATGTTTAGAGGAAAAGAATTAATTCAACAGCAAAAACTGTTTGTAAATCTTGAAAGAAAGCAGAAACTTATGGAATTATCACAAAGTCAGATCAGACCAATGCAAATAAAATTATCGCCATTGGAATGTGGTTGGACGAGTGTTACAATGGATGGCAGAAGCATTGAATCAGATCTTATTGAAAAAGGTTAATATTTATGCTATTATTGGATTATAATGGTTAAATCACACACATACAAAAATCATGTGATACGATGTCTATTTTCAATTATTTTTTTTGATGTTTCAGTTCTAAATATTAGAATCTTATATAATTAATATCTTTATTTTCTGCAGATACATTTGAAAGTTTTGAAACCTGGATTTTGAGCATCTCGATTTTATGCAATATATAATGGATAAAAGAATGGTGTTGAAAAATAAAAAATTGCTGCCATTCTTTACTAAACTTCCGTCTTACAAAAGAAGATTGGAATGTTGGATTTGAACGAACGACAAAACGAAAATACGATGAAACGAAAATACAATTGTCAGTGAAATATGGAAAACTGCAGTTTCTGATAGAAAAATATCCAGAGGCACAAATATTTTATAAACGAAAACTACACGAAGATGAAACAATAGATTAAAGAAGCCGTATAATCATTATACTTTTATGTATAAACGTTTCACAAAATCTTTATAAATGAAGTGTTACATTAGAAATATTAGTATAAAATTAAATATCCATGTGAGATTTAAAATTTTTTGTCCTTTTTTTTCTTTAGAATTTTGTGTACTTTTTTTTCTAAAGATTCTTTAAGCGAGAACTGCTTTTTTCGCAAGACTATTGAACAATTTGAATATTTGATGTTTTTTTAGTAGTTTAAATTTCGTGAAAAAATTCGAGAGAAAATTAGATTTTATCGTATTACTGCACATATCGATTAAATGCTATATCAAATATGTAGTGTAAATATTTTAATTTTTTCGTATACGATCTATTTTTTTATTCTATCGATATTTTCATAGTGATGCACCTTGAGCATTTTACTTCATATATTTGCAATAAAAATATATTGAAGCAAATTATTTTGCAAATTTATTATTCTACATTTTATTTAGAAAGAATAAGATTTAAAAAGACGTATGAATTTTTTCAGATTTTTTTACATATTTCTATTGAAAAAAACGTATCAGATAAAACTGACTTTCCTGTACATTTTAAATGTGCCAAAAGATTTGCTCTTTATTCCACTTACTGCAATAATGTACACTAAAAATGACAGATCTATATTAAAAATGATAGATCTATATTTAGTAGTAGGAAAGAAAGAGAGGAGAAATGAAAAGTGCATCTAGAGAATTTAAAAGAATAAAAATCTAAAAATAATAATACATAAAAATTAATATTATGTATTTTTTTCATGAGGAATGTGGGGCGCACATTTATGCATTTATTTATTTAGATGAAATTTACTTTAGAGCACATTCAGTATTCAACTTTAATTTTATTTTTTCTTTCTTATGATATATAAGTATAACATAATTACCTGCAAATGCTATTATTTTTGTGTGCTTACAGTGATACAGAAGCAACATTACAAGTACTATATTTACAGATAACATCTGTATAATGAAAAAAGCACCAAAAATCTAATGATGAAAAAAGGATAAATATTGTAGCATAAGTATCAACCAATTATTCCACCGCTCTGTTTCATTAGAGTTGCAATTACTTTTTATATCATAAATATTATAAATAAGATAAAGATTTCCGTACGTTTCAAATAAATTTATATACTTTATGTATGTAATACTGTGCACACATATTAAATGGTGATAATATCGCACTTATAATAAGATACAATCCTGGCAATGTAGCGATGTTTGGATTCTGAAAATAATTTAATTTGATTTATTTTTAAGAAATGCGCACAATACTTGAGAGCAAATTATTTTTGTGCCACGTATTACCTGTGTAAAATTCCACACACAATATCATATTGTCTGTGGTATATGAAAAGCTTCATCGATGAAATAATGTGATAATACAATTGAGATATAAGCAAAATAATATAGTACTTGTAATGAATAACGTTAATGTGGAATACATAAATATTTTATATTTTAATTTTATGTAATCGAGATGAGATAAGACACTCATGATTACTTTAAAAATGTGTCCAAATATCATGTAACTTCAATAGCTGCACATTCGTCAAATTAATCTTATTACGTTAAATGAATCACAGCAGCTTGTTTTAATTTAATCTAACCTAACCAATTATATTATATGCTCCTCATTAAAATGTGTAAAACTGTACGTCGCACATTTAATGCGATTAATATACTACATAATAAAATGTAATACACTAATGAAATAATTAAATATTATTTTTGAAAGCATGATACAATCCAGGCAGCATACGCTTATATTTACATTCGATATCCAAAGACACTGAGAGATTAGGTTAGGTTAGGTTAGGTTAGATCAAACAAATTTATCGTTTAACAGTTGGCAGCCCTACGAGATAGGCTGTGCAGCACTGCGCGCGCGTACAAAATAAATTTGAAATCGCTTGTAGCATAACCATCTTCACGCGATCGACTTTATTTGAATTGCATGGAATCGAATTATGATGCGGCGCCGATTTGTCCGAATGTAATTCGAGACATCGCGATGCTGTATAAGCGTCGAATGAGCACGAATTGATATGACGCAAATATGATAAATCAAATCTACTCACCGGCTGTTCCACAGACCGCTCCTCCTCGGGACAGTTCGCTCGCCTCGGGACGATCCATTCCGATCTTGATGCACACAAACTCACACGATATCATCAACGCGAACGCGCGACACTTTATTCGGCACTCCCGATACTCGCTCGCATCCGATAATCATCATCAAGGGCGCGAATAACGCGACGCATTTTCGCTCCATTTTCGCGATGACGCCATCACTGAATATCGTCAAAAATCGCTGTCGCGCGTTTCCATCGACACACTATAAAAGTCGCGCGATCATCCTTCGACACTCTCGACGCTCGTTCACTCGCGATATTCGTTTAAAAACGGTTAAAAGATACGAAAAATGCGGACGTACGACGATCCGTGTAACTGCGTATGACTCCGATTCACGCGCCAACATGGCGGCCGTATGACGCGTTTGACGTAGCAGTGACGTAGAGTGACGAAGCAGTCACGCGCCAACATGGCGGCCGAACCAGTGCGCATTCGTTTCTGCGCATGGCCATTCCTGCGCGCAACTTTGATTTCTGAATATTGTCTACGGCTTTAATTAATAGCACATAATGATAAATATATAAAGATGGAATCAATTAATCATATTGGTCATATATGTAGACTTGCCCGAAGAAAGAGAGAAAAAATTGAGAGATATTTTTAATTTCTTTTTTTTTTTTAGTAAAGGATGGAAATGTCTATTCATAGGCTTGTTCTTTTTTTCCTCTTTCGCGCAATTTCGATTCAATATATAACGTAAAAAATTCATAGTATATTATGCTAATGATTTGAATTACGAATGATTCATAAATATATAATATAAGTATATAATATAAATATATAATATAAATAATAGCGTGAAAAGAGAGACATACTAATATTTTTATATAATAAATTATTATTAATTAAACTATTTATATTTTTATTTATATTATTTATATTATCAGAGGGACATATATGTTACCCTCTGAGAACATTCGTGGACATTTGTTTTGTAGTTTATGTCCTCGTTTTTAATGTCCATAGAGGAAGTATCGCTTCTAGGGATCATCTAAAAGCTGGCCATGACATCTCTCAGTCTTCTCTCTGCAGCTAAAAAGAACAGGCCCTTTAAGCGGCCTTTTCATTGACGCTACTTTTTAGCGTCAATGAAATTGCACCTTTTAAGGTGCGGCCTCATTGACGCTAAAAAGTAGCGTCAACCATTGGTTGAACAAGGAGATAAGTATAGTTGCTTCATTGTTCAACCAATGGTTGACGCTACTTTTTAGCGTCAATGAGGCCGCATCTTTAGGAAAGAGGCGTCGAAAACATTTTCATTTTGGCGGGAAAAATTAACCCGTAAAAAGGCAGAAATTGAGAATTATACAAATGCAAAAATATATATTTTTTAAATTGTAATATATATATATACTACTATGTTAATGTATTTACTTGTATTTCAAAGTTTGTTATAATTTTTTTATATTATTTTAATGGAAACAAAACGTAAAATATATTTTCATCATACACTTAATATGCATAAAATTGATTTTGCTCGAATTTTGAAAAGATTTGTATCATTTTTGGCTAAACCTCAATTAATAGCATTGTTTAGACATCTATCTACACATTTGTGTGTGCTTATACTATGTTTTTTATTATATTATACATTACATATGTTCAAAACGCCCTCGCTAAAAGGAGCGAGGGTCCGAGCGATCATTCGGCGCCCCTGGCAGCCGTTAGCGCGACATCGCTTTGTCAGCGCAATTTAAAAACAGCGCTTGCCCTTCTCGAAAGATCCAAGGAAAATAAATAAATTCTTAACCGTTCGTTTTGAACATTTCTATTAGTTCACGAAAAATCGGGATCTTTCGAGAAGGGCTCCGCTATAAATTGACGCGCTCGCGGAACACGGCGCTTCTTGGCTTAAAGGTACTCGACGCACTCACTTATTTTTCGATCACGAGAAAAAACGTTCTTCCGTTGCTCGCGGATTGAATCAGTCGTCTCCGTTGCTCGCGGATTCTGAAATCGCTTTCGCGTAATTAATTTAAGACTGTGTATTATAATTAGTGTTATAATTGTTATAATAAACTGACTATTATTGTTAAAAGACTTAGATTTATCGTCGAATTAATTTCTCTTCGTTTTCTCTCCTCGCGGATTTTTATCCTTCGGTTTCGCGCTTGCCTCCCGCGTCAATCTCGCATAAACTCTATCATTTGCTGGTCCTTCGAGCCGGATTTTTAGTGACCGGGTTTTCTACGACGCGGAGTGAGTGCGAAGTGTTGTGGTTCTCTGTGCTCCGAACACCAGTCACCTGAAATTCAGTCATCATGAGTCGCAAGGCCGAGTTGACAATCACCGCTGCAACGGATCTCTACGGCAAAATTGCCCGTACTCACGAGAACCTGATGAAGCTGGGCGCTGCCAAGATCACGGTGGGCGCAGTGGAGGCGCGATTGCAGTCCTTGGAAAGGTACTGGACGAAGTTCGACGCGCACAACGATGAGCTCTTGAATTATCTCGACCAAGTGGCCGATTCAGAGTACATAAGACTCGACATACCTGCTCTGGCTGAAGAGGCCTACCTCGCCAATAAGGGCCTGCTGTTGGACCTCCTGCGTAACCTCAAGACGGAAGAGAAGGAAGCTGGCACGAGAGGGTCAGAGCCGTCCTCGCAAGCACCCCGCACGACTCTTCCGAGGATCCAGCTGCCTCATTTCTCCGGGAAGTACGAGGATTGGCCAGCCTTCCGTGATCTCTTCCAATCGCTAATCGGAAGGGACACTCTCACGTCCTCAGTCGAGAAGCTCCACTACCTGAAGACATGCCTGAAAGGAGAAGCAGAATTATTGATTCGAAGCCTGCCCACGACAACCGAGAATTTCGAACGCGCATGGGATGTTCTCGTTGCTTACTATGAGAACAAGCGGCTCCTGGTGCGCAGTTACATCTCCCAGTTTACGTCACTCCAGA